CACATCAAAATTCTCTATGAAAACAAATGTTTAAGAAATTTTTTTTTCTTGAAACATTTTTCACATACAACTTTTTTTTATAAAAAAAACAAGTTTTTGAAAATATGCCATCTCAAAAAAAGTAGAAAAAAACCAAAATGGTAGCTCTGAATATTGCGCAATATTTAAGTATAGTGCACTCTACAATAAAATGAGTTATGCATTTCTTTTACACCGAAGATGAGTAAAATGAGTACATACATACATTACAAAATTACAAATTTTTTAAAATTTTTTTAGAATTTTTTTTGAGTATGCAGTTTTTTAGCCCATTAAATTTAGTAGTACATTAGTATAATAAAGTGCAAGTTTTAAGCGATTGAAAACGGGTTTGCGCATTTTCTTCCATAAGAAAAAAGCGCAAAAAGCCATAAGCATAAAAAAAAAATTTAAATTTGCGTACAAATATCCATGACAAAAATCAACGCTACAATTTTTTCAACGGAATTATAAAATCTATTATATTTTCAGCTGGGCCGATTTGAAAATACCTACAAAAATTGAGTTTTTATAAGTAAAATTAGTTTTAGAAAATTTTTTTCCCCAAAAAATTACCTCAGATGATAGATGGTTAGTAGCTCTGCATACAAATGTTTAAAAATTAAGTCACCGGAATCAAATATTTCGGCGGAAGTCTTAAAATATAATACATTTTTATAATTCCGGTGGAAAAACCGCAACTTTTTTTTTGGTGATGCACCCTAATTTAGTTACATACACTTTTAAGTATTATGGGAATCCTAGTGATTTGAAGAATAACACAATAGTGACAATTTTGATTTGTAATCGCCCGACTTAACCAAGTTTTTAATATCGAAGCGTGTTGTTTGATGCAAATGTGTGGTACGGGGCGTATGAGTAATCAATCGCAATGCCTTCGCCGCAAGCTAAACAAACATAAATGATATATCGCAATCCACTGCGTCAAGCTAGCGTTATTTGCATTTTAGTGTTCAATTTAAAATAAATTATTAATACCTACTTATGTTTATAATTAGGTCGCGATGAAATCCAAAAAAATGGTTTAGCAAATAAAGACTCACTAAACTAGCTACCACTCAAGTGCATAAAAAATAATTGAATAATGAAATGAAATCACGCAAATTAAAAATCAACTAAAACTTAAAGCTACGGCAGACAACATAAGCAGCAAAAAATAATTTGTTAGGAATTTCCGGTGTTAGTCGTTGAAGAGCAGCAAATGCCAACATCACCAAAAGCAAAACTGCTAAGAATTTAAGTTTCAACCAACAACATACCTAAATAACAACAAGAACAACAACAAAAACTGGGTTGATTGTGTAAGATAGAGAGAGAGTGAGAGAGAGGAGAGCGACGGCAACAACAACAACAACCAACAAAAGTCACGGTCGGAGCATAGTTGAAATTGTCGAAAAATTAAAAGCAAACAAATTAATTAAATACGATAGCGAGGGTAGCGGTTAATGGTGTGAAAATAAAAGGCCTCGGAAATTCATTTCGTTTTCTTCGCACAAAAACGTACGAAAGTACGAAATTAAGTAGTTAAATATTTTTTTAAATAAGAGGCTAGCCAGCTCAGTGGTGTGCAGTGCAATCGAAATACTTTTGTGATAACAATAAAATACCGAATAAAGTTAGCAGTACCGCATCCTCGTTGCTGGCGCGTAATCGAGTGATCCGAAAAGTGAAAAGTATAGCGCAACGCAGCTCGGCTACTGTCAAATTGAAATTTAAGCAGACATAGCTACTTAGTTGCTCGCAAACAATTTTCAAGCACGCGATAGTCTATTAAAAGAAAGCCGAATCGAATAGCCGAGTGTCGTGCTAATTACGTACTTTCAAATTTGTCACAAGACGCTACAACTAAGCTACATACAGCTCTTATATGACATATATAATTTCTATAAACGGCGTGGCTTTATATGCTGGCTCGACCTTGAGTAAATAAAGAATTCAACAGCATTTTCGTAGTACAGCATCACAGAAAGCACCGGGCTGATAGTGGTGCAACAATTGAAGGCAACTGCCTTCTCGAAGCCGGAAAGTTTGCTCATTTGAACGCCGTGTGCTTCGAGTCTAAGGTAAGTGTACATACATTTTAAGGTTCCATTTTTTTGCTGTTTCAAGGTTTCTAGCATTTTAATTTTAAGCTTCAAGTATATTCTGGGGTTAGTGACAGAAATGTGTGGACAAAATTTGCGATCATAAATTAAAAAGTCTCACCCGCTAGTGCTTTCAAAACGTACATACATCCAGAATAAGGTTTTGTTATTATGTGACAAAATAATTATTTATTTAGAGAAAGTCTTCAATTTACTTCAGACTTTTAGTTGAGACCAGTCTACGTTCAGATTTAAAAAATTCAAATGGCGTGTCCATATTGAATGTATCATTTAAATATCACGGAAAAAGTTAAAACCGAGCGTACGTACGTGGCGTATGAGTGACATATTAGTAAGAATCTGGTCTGATTTCAGTTTCTTAACCAGAGACCTTAAGATACCTTGATCGTAGAGTTTTAAGCGCATCTAATCGATTTAATTTTTTGCCTCCATATCGTGTTCGCCATTTTAAATTTCTCCAATCTGACTTTAGACACTTAATCGGCAACTTCAAAACCTGCGCAGAAAACGTTTCAAGCGAAGCTGATTCATTTTAGTTTTTTGGCTATTGGCGTATTGGATCCGATATTATGAGTTTTTAAAATCAAGCTCTATATTCGTATTGAGCAATAAAAAAATAATAAAAATCTGCCGTTTTCTGTTATAGTGCAAATCTAATTCACAGCTAGTTTAGGTGCCATACTTTCTCCAAGGATTGAAATCTAGGCGGTCATTTAACACCTTAATTTTTATAATCTGTCCGATAGAATTTTGGCCAACGAAATGTACCGGTTGACGTGGAATGTCCCATAAAGATATTTGGTACATTCCCACGGATTTTATATATTTTTAACCACTTCTGTTGAAGATAAGATTTAGCTGTGTCTGGCTCGAGAAAACAACGTGACAAACACACGTCGAAAAAGTCGACTTAGTGGTTTGGAAATGAATATTACGTCGCTTTCCTTACATCGCTATGTTTAGCGCGTTCTCGGTGCTGATCTATCCGTCTAGCAAAAGGAAATAATCTCATAAAACTTTGGTATTAGAATATACCCCGCATTTGTTACAGAAGTTGTTGGAAAATAGCGAAAATCGTGACTATATACCAATTTTTAGGGCTTTTTGCTAATTATTTACATTCAAAAATTTTTTTTAATTATGCATGTACAAAATTTTGCGAATAAGATTCTTTACAAATTGGTACTTGATTATTTTAAACGAAAAATGCAAACTAAGCTTGAAAATCGGAATGTTCCTAAAAAATTTAGGGGCAAGACTATGAGTTTATAATCTACGTTTAAAAAAGGAAACGACGGTAAAGTTCTGAACTAAATTTAATTTTTTTGGAAATAGTCTAAAATTACTGGGCTAAGTAGCAAAACTGAGGCTGAAATAAACAAGTTTGCGCATGTCATATCCATACCTAAATTAGCACGTTGAGCACTTCGGGTGTATGCTTTTCTCTCTAAAGCGCATCAAATTTATTTACTTATTTAGGCGTGGCTCATATGTCGGTTTTAAAACAAAGCTTGGTTACCTCAACTAAAATTTGGTAACTAACGGGTGATTTTTTAAGAGCTTGATAACTTTTTTTTTAAAAAAAACGCATAAAATTTGCAAAATCTCATCGGTTCTTTATTTGA